TCTGCTGATGTGCTGTTCTGGTCATTTTGGGATAATCTTCAGCAGAATCTTGGTTGCATGTGTTATTAATGATATTGTTTGTTAATTTCCACACTCTGTCAGATCACCTTTCTTTGGAATGGAAACAAATATAGATCTCTTCCAATCAGTTGGTCAAGTCTTTGTTCTCCAGATTTCTTGGCACAACTTGGTGAGCACATCTAGGGTAGCATCTGTTAGTTGAAATATGTCAATTGGTATACCATAAATTCTTGGAGACTTATTTTATGCCAATTCTTTCAAGGCAGCTTTAACTTCTTCCTTAATCACCATAGGCTCTTGCTCATATGTTGTTTCATCTAATTCTTCTGTGTCTGCCAATTCCTTTTGATACAGTGACTCAGTATATTCTTTCCATCTTCTTTTAATACTTCCCATCTCACCTTTTTCCCTTACTTGGTACTAGCAGCCAGGAAATCTGACATATTGAATTTTGGAAGTCTATAGTCAGGGACCTCTTCAAATTACTGAGGAGCAATGTTAGGTTGAGGACTAAAGTGCACCTGATTCAGATTATGATCTTTTTAATCACTTACTGTACTGCTGAGAGCCAGACCAAATGAACAAGGATGACAGAAGAAAAAATAATGCCATTGAACTATGGTGTTGAAGAGCACTGAACCTCCCATGGACTTCTAAAAAGAACAAACGGACGTGTCTTGGAGAAGGTTCAGCCAGAGTACTTCTTGGAGGCAAGGATGGTGAAGCTTTGTCTCACATGCTTTGGGCATGCTGCTGGGAGAGGCTATTCCTTGGAGAGGGACGTCATGCTTGGGAATGTGGGGAGACAGTGAAGGAGAAGACCCTAAGCCAGGTAGATTGACACAGTGACTACAGCAATCAGTTTGAGTGTGTTAGAGATTGTGAGGTCACCACAGGATAGAACAGCTTCCAGGTCTGTTGTTTATAGGTCAGTACTGGACTTGATGGCACCCAACAACAGCAATGGCCTTGGGAAGTTCTCTGTGTTACAGGGTTGCTCTGAAGCAGGAGATTTATGGCAGTGAGTGAAGTGGTTTTAGGGTTTTTGTTACCTAGAAGACCAGTGTGTTTGAAGTAGATCATAGCAGTGAATGGTGGAAAATGAGAAAAAAGAAATTACAGAAAGCAAGGTCACAGAAACTTATCAGGTAAGGGAAGAAATTATGTGTTTTGACTAGAAGAGTGATATGATCTGTCTTTTTAACTGAGTTGCTCTGGCCACTGAATTTTGAGAAAAGGAGAGACAGGACAGAGACAAGGAGATGATTCAGGAGATGTTAGGGAATGAATCCTGATAGTGTGGCATGTTAATGTGTCAAGTAGCTGACTAATCAGGCTGAAATTTAAGTGGATGAGTGTCTCCAAGAGATAAGGATTAGGTGGTCTCAGATACCTGATGAACAGTCTCCATGAGTTGAGGATTTTATGGCTGTGGGTTTGGTTACTTTAGACAAGAGATGGTAGGTAACAGCTTGAGAAAGTGCCAGTAGGGTTGATAGTAAGAAGTGGCTAGATTCTGGATATATTTTGAAGACTTTGGCAGAATAGGATGAGAGTTACGTGTCAGTTTTATACTAATGAAATTTCTATTGCTCTCACTGATGGAAAAAAATTAAAATTCTTACAGGTTCTCAGGTAATTTTAAGATTCTGATGGTCTTGATGTCAATTTTTGTTGCTTGTTTTGAAGACAGAGCTGTTGTTTCTGTGTCCTAATTCATTACTAAGGAAGGATAAAGAGGAAATATGAATCTCTGAAGATTGACATTGCCAAAACAATCTTCTAATGAGTGCCTTGTAGACCTTTGGTGTCATTTGCCTTGCTGTGTCCTCGAAGCCTTCACAGAGCCTTACATATCTTGTGATTAGGTCCTGTCCAGTTCACGTGAAAGCATAGAGACCCTATTGCCACAGATCAAAGCTCTGCCCAATTCTGTGCCTTTCTCACAATCTCCACCATGCTTAAGCCCCATTGTTGTATCACTGTGTCAATCCATGACCAAACACTGAGGGTCATCTTCACCTTTACTGACTCTCTACTTTCCCAAGGATGATGTCTCTTTCCAAGGTTCTGCCCCTCCTGACAACATGCTCAAAGTATGTGTGATGAAGTCTCACCATTCTTGCATCTATGGAGCGTCCTGACTGAGACCTTGTACTTTGTTTTAATAAAAAAAAATTATTTTATATTGGTTTGCTTAAAAAGTTGATATACATTGTTTTTCACACTAAGCTCCTTCATATTGTTCCCATTCATTTTATCTCATAAAATGAGTCAACATTGAACCATGACCACTATTGCCGTGTCTTTTCAGATCCTCGTTTGAAGGGTGGCATAACCCTTCTGAGAAACAAACCCTCTGAGAAACAAACTTATTGTCATATGTTGATTCACAGCTGTATTACAGGTCAGAGGTCCACATAGGGCAATATTTACAGAGGCAGATTGCCACATATTTCTCCTGAGGTTGGAAGTTCAAATCTCGGTCCTGTTAACAGCCCAGTGTTTAACCAATGTGCCTTAAGTGTTTCCTGTTGAATAGCATGTTGTTAAAGCACCATCAAGTTTACTATCATTACGACTATTAGCGACCTTGTGAACATAGACGTTGCAAAGTCTCTCCATTTTCAATTGATAATGTGAAATAGTTATGCTTTGCTGCTCGGTGGGACAAAGATGCGGGCAGTCCGCTTCTATAGATTATGACCTAGGAAAACGTGTGTTGCAGTTCTTCCTACTCTGCCCTATAGGTCGTATGGGTCACCATCCACCCTATTCCAATGGGTGTGGTTTTTGTTGGTTTAGTAGCCATGATTTCTAACCGACTTGATCCCCAAGGGGCTTTGTATCTTTATTTTTTGCTCCCTCAACCCGCCAACTTCCTTGTCCAAGTTGGATAGCGATGCTTGACACTACTAACGTTATTTCCGCACCTCTTACGAGCAGAGGCAACTCAGTCTTGCAATTCTCAGCTGAAATCTGAGCATCACACTATTGCTTTCGTTTGTGTAAAGATGCCACCGCGTTAAATGCTGCAGTCTGTTTCCCCAGCCTCTGAGAAGCTCAGCATCGTTACCTCACGGGCCGCGCTGTGCACGCCGGGAGCTGGAGATGAGGAGACGGAGCGCGCTCCTTCCTGCGTCTCGGCGATCCGAGCTCCGCCCGCGAGCGCCCCCAGTGCGCAGGCTCGGTGAAGCGCCGCGGTAGCCAACAGCGGGCCTGTTTCCTAGCAACCGGGGAGGCGGCAACGTCATAGCGGCGGGATTCTAGCCCCGCTGCCCACTGTCGGGCCGTTTTCTGCCCCTTCGAGCAGCAGCGAACCGAAGGGCGCTCAAGCTTAGAGCTTGTGCCCGGACGTCCGCGTCCGCCCACACACACCTTAACCTACGCAAGTAGCCACGACCCCCGCTCCTGAGGCCCGGGCCAGTAGCAGCCGCAACCCGGGTCCCCTGCGCTTCCTCCGCGCGCCCACGCAGTTCTCCGCCCCTGGGTTCGGCGGGACGATGCTGGAGTCTATTCGCGTGACGGGTGAGTGCGGGACTCAGGGGTGCTGGGCACAGACAGGTCAGGGCACCCGGGCCTGTCGCTGTGGGTGTGAGCAGGTCCCGGCCCGCTCTCGGTGTTGCGGGGCCGGCCAGGTGAGGGTGCGCAGACACTGGGCAGCACAGTAACACACCTTGGGGCGTCTTGAAGCCGCTTGGGAAAAGGGTCCCTTTTGTCGCTGCCTTTTTGTAAGTACATGTTGTAGAGTCCGGTGCAATAACTCATAATTGTTTGGTGCCCTCGAATGGGAACCGAGTCCTAGCGCACCCTCAGGCGGGTTTTCAGAGGCAGTAAATCATACGGGAGGAGATTGCTCATCCCTAGCAGCTGGTGGACTTGAACTACCTTTGACATTGTAGTCCACCAGAGCTCCCTAAATTAGAAAGGTAATTGGCCTTAATAATGTGTGTCCTAAGCAGTGCTGAACTATGTTCCAGAGTATATGTGACACGTAATTAGGCAATATGTTGTAATAGCGTCTGATTTTCTAGAATGTTCAAAAAAACCCTCAGAGCGCTCATTCTGTTTTTATTTGTATGTGAGGAACTCAGGTGGTATTAGTTAAATGTTCATATAGCAATCAAAAAATTGTCGGTTCAAACCTATCAGTGGTTCTTGGTCAGAAGTATGTGACAGTTCTTTTCCTCAAAAATTACAGCCTTGGAAATGCTTCGGGGCAGTTCTAATTTGTCTTACTATGTCTGTCGGGACATAACAGCAACAAAACAATAAGAGTATGATTTACAGTTACCTAGGTGGCATTAGTTTCTATTTTTCCACATATGTCCGTGTGTATGCTTAAGTCAGTGAGAACCTTTTGAGCTGTTTGGAATATGTATCATGCATGAGCTCTTGTAGCCTCTCTGACAGGCCATTTAGAAGTGGTTTTAATCCCCTAGCTACTCCTTGAAGCATAAAGACGGGTAGGGTAGTCTTCCTATTATGATGCACAGTTTCTTAAACTGCATGGAACTGATTCAGAAGCAGTGAGTTTGACCGTTGATACCCAAACTTAAAATATGAACAGTTAGACTCCAACACGGAAAATTTTCTTGCCTTTTAGTATACTGTTTTTAAACAACTGTGACTACTAGTCATTTAAAAAATGATCTAACAAAATATTATGGTAACTTCTGAGAACATTTTATCAGCATTTGATTCTATTTGATAGTATTCCTGCAAGACCAGGATCCATCTGAGTAGCTAGTAACAGTGAAGAACAAAGTAAAGGTTAATTTGCCCCAAACTAGTGCGAAGTAAGTCGTATATTTTTAATTTTAAGGTATTGCAAACCTGTTAGACCATCTTTCTTTCCATGATTGGCCTAGAGATAGATAGAGAGATGGAGAGATAGGCCTGTTGTTCATAGGGTCTCTGACTCAAAGGCAATCAACAACAATATATATATGTATATGAGCTGTGGTGCTGGAGAAGAGTATTGAATGTACCATGGACTGCCAAGAAAACAAACAGATTCATCGTAGAGAGGATTAAACCAGGCTGCTCCTTGGAGGCAAGGATTCTGGGGCTTCGTCTGACATACTTTGGACATGTTGTAAGGAGAGACAGGTCTTTAG